AAAAAATAAGTTATTGCAGTTAACGGGAACCACAGGGTTTTTGTTACATGTTGTATTGTCTTATTTCATAAATCTGTATTTTGAACTTTTACTAAAAAAACTAAAGTATTTTGTTGTTTGATTGTGTATAATATTAGTTACATAATAAGAATTATTTTTATTAATAATGAGAGATGATACGCACACGTGCGTATTCTGTAAAACTCGTTACCAAAAGTGAAGTGGTATAACATTTCACAAGTAAGTGAATTTGTAGCAAATATTAAACAAATTAAAACTATTTGATAATATAAGTACTTAAAAATTTGTTACTAATCTTAATATCGTATATACCCAACATGTTTGGGTGTATATTACTGAGTTTTGATAAACAATTAAATCCAATAGGGTTGTCGAGTTCCTTGTCTATAATACTCATCGATGTTATTTCCTATCCACATGTGTTAACAAAAAAAGTCGCCAGCAACGGATGGTTATCAAATGTTTATTAATTAACAGGTTTCCAACTGAACCTAGACTAAAATTATGTCTTAAAAGCATAAATATTGTGAATTAGCGTCCGAAACAAAATGATCATGTTTGAAACAAATAGATTATTATTTCGAATATTTTTTTATTTCTTCTTTCCTCATTTTCCACCAAACTCAAGGGCCATAGCCAAGTGTCGAAAGATCGCCTGATGATGTCGAGCCACGTTGGATGTGTGTTAGTGGGCTGCGGCTAGAGGAGATTCCGCTCCCTGGACCGCTGTAGTCGAGGTGGAATCTTAAGGGAAGAGGAGTGTTGGTATGGCGATTGGCGATGCGCCACTTGACTATCTTTCGCGACTTTGGTGAGGCTGCACCACTTGATGCTTCCAAGTGCTCGTTTTTCCCTGGCTCTATTAACATATCGGGCTCGGGGAGTCCGTAGTGCAGCTCGTATCTCTATAAATGTTTTCTCGGTTTAAGATCTTTGTAGAATATTTAGAGACGATACCAGGAGACCCGACGGTATGGGTTTGGTTGCTTGAGGGAAAGAGAGGGAGAGAAATAAAGCTTTAGTGTGGGATACTACTTGCGAACACTTTGACAGCTTCCCATCTCAGGGGTACCTCGTCTAAAGAAGGGGTGGCATTAGAGGCAACTGAACCAAGTAAATAGCCTAGAGTATCTGGAAGATAAGTACATATTTGTGCAATTTGCTGTAGAGACTATTGGTCCGTAGGGTGCACGTGCGGTGTAGTTCCTAAAAAACTGTATCTGCGACTGATCGTCGCTGCTGGTAATAAGAAGTTGTTTAATTTGTTGTTTCCTCGCTTGAAGGCTAAGTATAGCCACTCAATGAGGACACGTAGTCAGCATTCTTGGGACGATACCACAGAAAGTAGGACTTTATGATAATTTCAGTTATTTTTTTAATATTGTAAATTCAATTTCGAAAATGACGTTGTAAATAACTAATAACTATGTAATTCAAAGTTTATATTTTTTTATATTATCTTGCTAGCTCGTACCCGGCGCATTGCTGCTGTAGAAGAAATAATTGTGGAAATATCGTTAAAAATGTGGAACAGTTATATTGTATAATTATTAATTAGTAATGATAATACAATCATTGAATTAGAATTATATATAACTTTCTATAACTTTCAAATAAATAGTTGGTATAATACGCACACTACCTAGTGTCAGTTAATTGTACCATGCGTATAACCTTCGCACAAGTGCAACCAATAAGTTGACTAAGTTTGACCGCAATCTGATGAACGGTATGACATCGTAGAAAGTACGAACAAACATAAATTTTTATATAGTAGAAAATATTTTACTGTCTATAGACATACCTGTAGTTGATTAGAATAGGCGTTATTATAGCAGCTGTTTTGTTTTTTATAATACTAGAACTAAATGAACGGTTGACAATAAATTATTTTAGAAATTATGTTTTTATTTTTATTTTGTGTAGTTAGTTTAATCTTAATAATTTTTAGTTGAATAGGCTAAGGGCTACGATGGCTATCCGAGTACAGAACCAGAGTACAAAACTAATCCAACTGTAGAGATGTGTAAGGCAGGGTGACATAATATCCCCGAAATACTTTACCGCTGCGTTGGAAGACGTTAAAAGGATACGATATTAACGTCAATGGCGTGTACGTCACTCACCTTCGTTTTGCCGACAATATAGTCCTTAATGCAGAATCGCTGGAGGACCTACGCACTATGTTCAATGACCTCAATCGTGTCTCTCAACGGATAGGTCTTAAGATGAACAAGGACAAAACAAAAGTCACGTGTAATGTCCTTGTCACGTTAGTACTCTTATTAGTTTGTGGTTCTTGTCACACCTATGCCGGTGATTTTTGGGAGCACTTAGCTGAAGTTGTTGACGAGTATTTTTACTTGGGACAAATAGTCCGACTAGGTAAGTTCAACTTCGACCGACAGGTCAATCGACGGATTCAACTCGGCTGGGCAGCGTTCGGGAGATCACAACACATCTTCTCGTCAGGAATACCTCAAAACTAGATTCTACAAGCAGTGCGTGTTGCCAGTGATGACCTATGGATCTGAGACGAGGTCTTTCACACTGCTGGCTGTATGAGGAATGTATGTCGCTCAGCGAGCTATGCTCAGGGGTTCAAAATTAGGAATGAGGATATCTGCAGCAGAACCAGAGTGACCGAATCAGACAAAAAAGGTTCTCAAGTGGCAGCCACGTACCGGCAGGTGAAGTGTAGGATGTTCCCCCACTAGATGGAGTCAAAAATGGATGGACCGTGCTTTGTGGCATTCCTTGGGGGAGGCCTATGTTCAGCAGTGGATTTGTGAAGGGTTTTTAATGATGATGAATGATAATGGCATTATATTAATATTTAATATGATACATAAATAGAATGGACGTTACGGGTAGAGTCCATTCTATTTATGTAGGTATAGGTAGGGTATAGAATTTTTATCTATACTATTTGGTACACTGTCTCATCCCTATTATTAGTTCCGTGGACGTGCACTTCTGCTGTCAGCGCCAAAATGGCGGAAATCAAATCGCTTTAGCATGTCACGGTGTATAGCCAGTTCAGCGTACTTGTATATATAGAGGTCAGTGATATTTCTGGGACACTATTTTCTACAGCGATCGTTCTCCTGTTCTCTAACCTCCATACTCCATGAGATGGATTGTGTGCTCGTTTGTCACCCTTATTCTATAAAAAAGATTGTAATTTGAGATACCTTTGCCTGTAGTAATAAAAAACACAAAATGTCAAAGCTCAAAGTAGACAGAGTAGCTTTCCGTGAATTAGAGATGTATATTATTATCGTCGTAATCATGTGGGATAAATATTAAGTAAAAAAATATGGTATCATACCTATAACTGGTTAATTGTCAAATAATAGTGTAACAGTGTGAGTTTTTATTTATAAAATACGCAATATAGAACCGTTATTGGATTATAGTATCTCATTTGGTCGAATGATCGCGTATATTAATGATAAAAATATAATCATAACAAAACATGGGTGATTAAATGAGATGTTCCAAAATGTATGGAGCCTGGGCTAGGTCCTTGTACACTATACTCAAAAATAGGAAAAAACATTTTAAACGGTTTTCAGCTGTCCAGTTATTCTTATTATTATATAATAGCTTTGTTTGCAGGTAAAGCACAGGAAATTACACAAACAAATTTCAACACACAACAAAAACTGTCATGGCGGTAAGCTGTCATTTTCATTGATTAGTGACGTCGGACAAGTTTATTTCACGTATTTTTGACACTGTTGTGAGAACTGACAGTTCTCTTTCTATGACCAATGGTCGCTTTATTGTTTACTGTCATTGTCTATAAGCACAGAGTAACTAGATCGGTAAGACGCAATGTTGAAATTCGATAAAAATAATTGATAAACACCAATTGTTTACCACGATAGGATATATTGAAATTAATTATATGTATTTTTCCCAAATTCTACAGATTTTTTCCTTTTTTTAAGGAAATGTACATAGACCTAGACCATTTTGGACTTAAATAGGCTTAGGACTGTCAACAAAAGAGTTGGCTTATTTACAAAATTAATATTTTTTTCTGGAACAACTTTTAAACGGCTTTACCGATCGATTCCAAAAACGAATAAGCACCTTCAAAAACCACGTAGGTCAAAATCGGTTGATTCATTCGTGAGATATCATTAACGAAAAATTTTGAAAAAAAAAATGATTTTTTTTGAATTACTCCGATATTTGATATTCAACCTCATAATTTGATGGGAGTGCTTTGCATTTGAAACTAGCGGGAAGTTTCATGGATGACCTGCAGGGTCAACCAATTTTTTATATTTGTTTCATGTTTTTTTTTATTTGTATGTTTTGTTTTTCTAATATTTTATGTTTATACAGTATTATTTCTTTTTTATGTACAAGACTTAGGAATTAAATTCTCTTCCAATATAAATATTTATATTCAAGAACATCAACTGCTTCACTTTCTCAGTTTTAAGCTTTTAAGTCTTGTTCCGCGATCTGATATTAAGTATCCAGAGCTGGGATATACGCTCGCAGAATACTGAAGTGCTCATTGCGCAACTTTTCTGCCGACATACCTGGGCCAAGTTTGGATAAATGTATTGTTGATTTTGCCACCATTTTGTAGTGTTGTTTAAGTTTCCATGTTCATCTTTAATCGACAATAATTGATCTTCAAAGCAACGCTGTACTTCAATAAACGTCGCGTTCATATCTCAGTATTAACTATTCTTTGACAGGGTGTATTTTCACAGAGTACTTTTTGTATACCTGAAAGTATTTTTGAATAACCCAATATGAGAACATTCGTATTACCTAGTATGAAACTTCGGCAGTATACCTATTACGTATACCTAATACCAATATATTAGTCACACCTCTAATTTGAATTCAAAATTGAAATTGAAAGATGTAAATCGCCGGTAAAATTGAATTGCAATATATGATCAATGAAAGAGACAAATTTTTGAGTAAAAGTGTAAAGAAAATAAAAAATGAAAAGCAAATTATGTTGCATAGAAATTTTTGTATGCTTTTGTGTATGGATATGTGCAAATTTGTATTCCTTGTTTAAGTTATTTGAAGCACAAACAGGTATTTGTTTGGTTTTACTTATCACACATTTTTGAAGTTAGAGATGCGAGTTTTTATCGGTTTTTATTCAACTTTCAGAAATTTTACAACAAAATGGTCAGGAAACGAATTTACTCAAAGATCTTAAACCTGGTTGGCGGTTTATACAACGACACAGAGATGAATCAGACATTGAATGGAGTAGTTGGAAATATTTTATTCATATATCCTTACATTACCTGATAATACAATTTGTTATATCTGAAATCATACGAAAGTTCTCATTACCAATATTGAAACATTGGTACATCTTATCAAGTGTAATTTTTATCACTTATTGCATGGGTGTCCGACAGATGATTATAATTTTAATCCAGCCAATGTTATATGCTACAATTATAATGTTAGGTGGTAATAAACAAAGTATTTGGATGACTAGTATATTGCTTCTTGCAAGTTATAATTCCTTAAAGTATAAATATTATTTCTGGAATTTCTTGGACCACGAAGAAATGCAAGATGAAGAAGTTTACCTCATGTTATTCAGTGTGGCCTGGATCGAACTGCGGTGTATTAGTTACACTATTGATTATATAGATAAGAGGGATACAAATAAAATGCATAAGTTTTTCTTTTATAATGATGTTGTAAATATGTTAAGTTACATATTATATTTACCACTTTTATACACAGGACCAATTATACTTTATGAAGAATTTGAAAAGAGCTTTAATATTAAGTATGAAAGCTTAACATTGAGATTGAAGAGATTTATTTCAGATTTAATATTATTAAAATTCTACTCCTTAATTTTAGATATAGCTTTTCATTACATATATTTTTTTGCTATGCAGGATAATATGGAGGTATGAAATAAAAGTTTGTATGTATTTTTTTAAATTAGCATATATTATTAAAAACCTATTTTTGTTTTTAGCTTGTAAGAAAACTGCCCACAACAGCGCTATGTGGTGGAGGTCTTTGGATGGGGTTGGAATTTCATATGAAGTATGTTATTTCATACGGCACTACTACAACATTTGCAAGACTTGATAACATTGAGCCACCCCCAATGCCAAGGTGTATTGCCAGAGTTCATATCTATTCACAAATGTGGAGACATTTTGATGTTGGGCTTTATAGATTCCTTGTAAAGTAAGTTGCATCTTTATTTTAATAAACAACCACCTTACATCAGTTTTTGCCAAGAGGCTTCATTCGTATTTACCTTTTAAATTGCTGACACTTGGATATATTCCTTTTAATGAATACTTAAAAACGTTTACGTGGTAGACCTACACTGCAGCTATTATGGTTGTAGCATGAATGGGTCGGCTCAACCGGGGAAAGACCACACAGAATACCGGTATAAAATAGCAGCTTAATGCTGTTGTGTTTCGTATGGTGAGTGTAGAGAATCGGAGACCCATTATACTGGAATCGAGGCCTTCCATCTTAGTCCTCAAGGGTGACAACACATCTGCATTTTGATTCTTAAGCGAGGTTAAATGTAGATGTCTATGAGCCAACACTTGTTGGTTTTTTCAAGAATACAACAAAAACCAATTTCTATTCAGTTTCTTGCTCATTACTAATGGTTGATGACTTTATAATGTATATGATATTGCCACCCAGCACCAGTTCAATATATTTGGGTGGTTTTTTTGTCATCAGTCAGTTGTCAGAGCTTCAATCAGCAAGGTGCATATGGTAGTGGTATAGTAGTAGGTGGAAGTAGTATTTTGTGAAAATGTTAGCATGATTGTTGTTATACCCATGCCACTATACCTTTTTTTGAATTGCAACACCTACATAAAGTTTTCGTCACTCCTTGGGTTGACTTGAGAATGACTATAGGTATTAAGTCCACCCCTTATATCCTTCCTTATAGATGGAATGCAAGAAAGATTGAAAATAAATAAATAAAATCAACAAGGCTCAATTGAATCTTATTCTCAAATCTATTGTTGTTCCCATGCTACATATTTGGAGGGATTTCATACATTATTTATTTTAGTTATACTTATGGACCACTCCACCACACAGTCTATATTCATTCATTTTTGTCAATTTATGTATTTTATATTATTTTATGTTTCTATTTCCAGGTATATCTACAAGCCTGGTCTTACCATAGTTTCTACATTAACTAAACTACCAAAAATAGTTCATCGGCTTACTGCTTCACTAGCCACATTTGTGTTTATATTTATGTGGCATGGAACAGTTTGGCATATATTTATTTGGTCAACGTTAAATTACTTGGGTATTACCCTAGAACATGTGGGTAAAGAATTATCAAGGCACAGTATGTATGAATGGTTTAGAATAAATATTTTAAAAACTGATAAAATGGAGGCATATTTTATTGCACTTTTATGTACACCATTATTAGCTTTGTCAGCTATTTCAAATTTTTATTTATTTGCTGGTACTGAAGTCGGTAATTTATTTTTTGAATGTTTTATAAATCCCTCTCTGTGGAATTCAATATTATTAGGTATATCGTTATATTGTTGTTGTCATGTGTCAATGGCATTGGCAGATGTTCCTTCTCGGGGATGTACACAGAAATTGAAAAGAAAGAGTGAATAAATATTGCAAAATTTTTACTGTTGTGATATAAGGTTTAGCATTAATTGGAAAGCACTCAGTAAAAGTTCCTCATAGTTTTATAATATTTCAAGTACATACTCTATTTAGGTTGTGTTTCTTTATGCTTTAAATCTCTCAATAATTTATTATATTTTTGTATACAATAAACTTTTTTTACAATTTTCATGGTTATATTTTTATTTATCATATTTCCTACATGTATTTTATTGTGACATAAAAAGTATTTAGATTGATATATGTTCTTGCTGAATTGTCAGAGCTATATTTTATTGGTAAATAATCTTTTAGGTGAAATGCTTAATAACTTAAATGAACAAGTTCTTCTATCAAAGTTGGACATGCTATGTGTATGATACAGGTCTTTAGATTGTAATTTCATCAGAAATCAAGGATTTGGCAAATGTGATAATGTGTTTTAATTGGCATATAAATGGTGCCAATTTAGCAAGTTAATTTTTTTAAAAACACATTGAGACACATCGCCTCATGACTTCATTTGCTCATTTTGTAATAATAGAGATAATAATAATTCTAGGCACAGACCTCAAATTTCTGAGAGGGTTTTAGGGCAAGGAAATGTCCGCCGCGCTGCCCCAGTGCGTATTGGCGAACCTTACATGTCTCACAACACACAAGACATGCAGGTTTCCTCACAATGTTTTCCTTCACCGCCGAGCCCGTGGTAAATCAGCACTTAAAATTGCAGTTAAAAATTTTATTGGTGCCGGCGGGGATCGAATCCGGGTTGCTCGAGTGCTTCGAATTTTACAACGAGCGCTCAGCTCCTGAGCTAAATATATAACAGAAAAAATACAGATACTGGTGAAAGAAAGCAGAGTTAAAATCAAACACTTGTCTTTGCTGTGTCTGATATATATTTGACATGCAACAAAGACTACAAGTAGCAAAGACAAAAAAATTGAGTGCATATTCAGAACACTGACTTCCTATTAAGGCATTGGTAGCTGTAAGGATACTAATGTTACGTGTAAAAACATAAGTAGGTATTAGTTTTAAAACAGTGTTTATTAAAAATATTTCCATTTATCAAATATCTTTGAATAGTTAAAAAGAAATGTACTTATTTAGAATCTATTTCATATTACGAGTATCTTATCTATTCAAGTTTTGTTTCTCCTAAAATTCCGCAGCCCCAAGTCTTATTTCGAATGAATGACAAGCTCGTGGAAACTGTCCATGCGGTCGGAGTTAAGCTCCGTAAGACCCATCACAGAAGAACAGAAACTCCGATCACACTATTAAGACGTTAAATGGGAAATACGTTAGACGGGAAGTGAAGCTGCAGTCTTCAGTAGATTTAACAGCATACAGGCAACTGAACAGACAGATCTCCAATTGCATGCGGCGAGACTTACGCAACTTCAACTTTTAGAATCATTACGAGTCATCTCGCACGCAGACTCGACAACTTATAGCCTCCCGAACAAGCCAGTTTCCGAAATGGCTTTAGCACCATAGACCACATGCATACCCTACGTTAAATAGTACAGAAGATAAGAGTACAATCTGCCACTTTGTCTTGCTTATGTGGACTATGAGAAAGCCTTTGATATCGTTGGATTTCGGCGGTGCTGAAATCCCTTTAGCGGTGCCAAGTTGACTGTCGGTATACCGAAGTGCTGAAGTATTTGTACAGTAGGTCTCCGATGAATGTCAGAGTACAGAACCAAAGTGACAATATATCTCCGAAAACTCTTCATGGTTGCTTTGAAAGACGTTTTAAAGCTACTGGATTGGAAAGGATACGGTATTAACATCAATGGTGAATACATCACTCATTTTCGATTTGCCTATGCTCAATGACCCTAATAGTGCCTCCCAACGGATAGGTCTTAAGATGAACATGGAAAAAACAAAGATCTTGTGTAACGTCCATGTTACACCTATTCCGATAGTTGTTGGGAGCACTAAGCTCGAAGTTGTTAATGAGTATGTTTACCTGGGACAAATAGTCCGATTGGTAAATCCAACTTAGACCGAGACGACAATCGACAGATTCCTCTCGGCTGGGAAGCGTTCGGGAGATGACGATACATCTCGTCAGTTATTCCTCGAAACTTGAAAACGCGATTGTACAACCAGTGCGTGTTGACAGTGATGACTTGCGGATTTGAGACGTGGTCCTTCACTGCTGGTCCTATGAGTAAGCTCTAGGTCGCTCAGCGAACGGGCTATACGAAAGGGCTATGCTCGGGTTTTTCTGCCTGATAAATTTGAAAGTGAATGCCTGGTAAATTTAGAAATGAGCATATCCGCAGGAGAACCAGAGTAACCGATATAGCCCAAAGGATTAGTAAGCCGAAGTGGCTATGGGCCGGCCATATAGCTCGCACCTGTAGGCGAAATGTGGGGTGGCCCCCCACTGGATGGAGTGACGACCTAGTCAGACATGCAGGAGGCCGATGAATGCAGGTGGCTCAGGAATGTGCTCTGTGGCATTCTCTGTGGGTGTCATAAGAGGCAGCAGAGGGAAACAAATCAGGCGATGGGCAGCAGGGTCTTCCTAATAACCACTGAAAATAAACAACCGAGGTTGCCCACCCGCTTCCAAACGTGGCAACTATGAAAAGTACCCCTCCCTCCCATGAGGCAATCTATGTTCAGCAAGGGACTTAACATGTATACTACTACTTTTCTCGTGAGAAATAATGGTGATAAGAAGTTGCGCTAATTCATGAATTTCAAGAAATTAATTTTCTTATCACCCCTTTGAGTTATGTTTTGTAACTCAATTCCAATTTACTGATTAGTATACAGTCAAGACAAGGCGTGAAATTTAAAATTATTCTTTGCGATTTCAGTACTAATTTTCAACATGCATCATAATAGGTATTACGTGTATGCGCGCGGGGATTAAATCACTACCGCCTGACATTAAATGAACAATTTTTTAGCATCTACATTAATAGTTTCAGTTAGACGATTTTAAGTCAAGAAATTGAAAATATATTTCCTAATTTATTTTTAGGGTTCCGTATCCGAAGGGTAAACAACGAGACCCTATTATTAAGCCTCCGCCGTCCACCGTCCAACCGTCCCTCCGTCTGTCAACGGGCAATTTTCCCAGAATGTGTATTTCTGTTGCCGCTATAACAACAAATAATGAAATAAAGTAAAAATTAAAGGGGGTCCCTTACTAGTAACATATAAGTTTTTGGCTTTTTTGTTCGATCTTAATAATAGCCACAAGTAAACGCTTGAAATGCTCAGTTTGTATTGCTATATTCTACCTACATAACTTAAAACCTTGTACGATGGTACGGAAGCTAAATGCGCGCGTCGGACTCGCACTTGGCCGGTTTTATTATCTTTATAGAAACAATTACTAATAAATTGATGAAATAAGGTTTCAAAATGCATTGGCACCTTTGGATTAAGATGGAACGCAATATTCATATACATATCTGCCTATATACTGATTAAATCACAACACGTCACACCGATGGTACCGTTTCCAGTTTTTGCTGCTAAGCGGCAAAAATAAGTTAGTTGTGATGGGCCACGGGGTGGCGGCAAAATAAAATCCATATCGATATTTCTTAAATGTGGGTGTCGAAGAGGCGTTATAGGGAAATAGGAAGACCTCATGATCTCCCAACGATGGTAGTTTACCTTCAGTTACGGTAGATTTAAAATATTCGAACTTGTGACGGGTGGCAGAGTCTAAGGTGCAAGAAATCTAGTATTGCGATTGCCAATCCGTCTGCTGAGCGTGGCTCACTACGATGGAAATGGCACATGTCCAGAAGTGGATTTTTAACGAGTGATAAAAAGTAAGTAAGTACTTTGTGATAATACTGTTGCGCGCCATAAAAAATGCCACTAGCGCCATTTAGTATCGAGTGGCAGAACTACGAGAGCTATCTAGAAAATTCTATGCTAGAACTTTCCCACTAGCGCTATCTAGTATCCAGTGGCAGAACTAGGAGAGCTTCCTAGAAAATTCCATGCTAGAACTTTTCCATTAGCGCCATTTAGTATCGAGTGGCAGAACTAGGAGAACCTTAAGTTCGTAACAATACTATAGTTGTCTTTGACCAGGCAGATTTCCAAAAATTTCAAAAACTAACAATTATGCAGTAGATAGTGTCATAAGCTCATAAGTATATGTACAACAAATAGTAGTAGATAAATAAAGTAAATAAAAAAGATATTAATAATTATTTATTTATTTAACACATTAAATAAAGAACAACCTAAATAGCAATTAATTGGTACGTATTAGAGGCCTTAAGCAGTAGGTAAGAATGTAGATGCATGGCTTCAATCAATTCGTTAGGATCCCCCGCTATACCCGCGGCCTTATGTATTTGAATCATCTCTTGTCTTGTGAATATGTCTTTACCCAGTTGATGAGAACGTCTTGTTAGTGCGTCCAAAAACTTTTTCAACTGAAACAATATGTTGTATCAATAGTGCGATGTATTTAAAACAGAAACTTTTTTTATTTAAATTAGATTATAACACTTATTGAAAGTCACCTTTTTCATATTTCACTGGTTCGCACAAAAAACTGTCCTGGGAAGAAACAGCTAAAAACTCAGTGGGACTTTTAAAGAAAATAACAGTTTATAATCATGTATTTCACAATTAACAACACAACACAAATTAGAAATAGCTTGGTAGCGATCACCTTTCCAAGGAGTTATTACATAATATCATCCATAAATTCCTTAATATTATAATAACCCTTTTTATACAAATTTAGTATAATAAAGTTTTTGAACTTTGTGTAGGTCAAATTTCGTACATTTTCCGGGATTTTGTTTTAAAAGCCCCAAGAATGAATAACTGACTCAATGGAGTCGACTAACCGGTACTATTAGTTTGAAGTTCCTGGTATTACAAATTTACATATAAATTTTAACAATAATCACCACTGAATAGCCCATTGAATAGAGTACAATACAGACCCTGTCCAAGATTCCCCCAACGAACGCCACAAAACACGGTCCTGAGCCACCAGCATCCGTTGACTTCCTGAATGTTTTACCAGGTGGTCACTCGCATCTCGTAGAAGGAGATGGGGGAGGGAGTTGTAATGTTCAATTTACTGCTTTAAACTGATATAATAACATTTTATATTCTATATAACTATTCGTAATCATCATTGCAGCCCATCATAAGTCCACTGTTGAACACAGATCTCCTCTACTTTTCCACAAAGCACAGTCATGAGCCACCTGTATGCCTGTATCCATCGACTTATTGCATATTTCACTAGGTAGCCTCCCCATTTAGTGTAGGATCGCCTAAGAAATTCTGGACATGGATGGAAGGAGTGTCCTTATCGCCAAGCTTGGCAGGATTCGGATTAACCGGATTTCATGCT